TGCTAATGAAACAAATGCAACAAAACGGAAAACACTACAACAGGATCCAGATAGATGACTCCTCCAGTCACTCTACTCTGCAACTATCCTCATATACGATCCCAACCAGCAGTAGATTTCCCGTGCAAACTTCCAGTAAAATTTATAACTACAACACGTACAACGTTTCTACGGCAGCCATTAGTTTTGATACTACTACACCAGCGGTGCCATCAAATGCATTTGCGTTACGCCAACCAATCCGCTACGACACAAGGAATATACACAACGTCAAAATGGTTGCATATACCTCCAGATCTATGCAACAGTTTCCATGGCCATCACATCGACGACAATGTGGTGATATATACGATCGACATGGTTCCTATGAGAACACAGAGTTCTCTGGAAACGACGGATATACACTGAATCGATCTCTACAACAGCCACAAACCAGTGCTAATGGTCCAACATGCACTCTACAGATCAATAATCTCAAAGATTTCACGCTTCCTGGTATTAAGCTCCCAAAGTACGTAATCTGTTAGTATGAATTAATTGGTTTGAGCTGTACCAAACTGCAAGACGAAACAATTCCAAGTTAACTGATGTGGAAAATATTAACTTATGTGCAGTACCTGTGTGTCGATAAAGTCAAAAACGTTGTGGAGAGCTACGACATGAATTCTTCACAGTATATTCAAGCAATAGATGAGCTAAATCGCAGATGTGGCAGCCCTAATTTCGTTGTTGCAGCTTTTTCTAGCGAGCTGAGAAATTTTGAGCGACTGCTTGTTATCGAACCTCAAACGTTCGTCAGGTTCGCTTCTTCCCTACTTAAGCTGTTGCATAGTTCTGAACTTAGCGACTGCACGTCCGACTTGAACTCGAGTAACCTTACTGGACTTGCTCGCTCTAAAATTCCTCCAGCAGTCTTGTGCAAATAGGAAGAAAACTGCTTACATAATGGGATGGACTATGCTACACTCAAAGATCTCACAGACTGGCTTAAAAAGCTGTCCTAGAGATTTACCCGATGCACCCCGTCCTTTTACGGGAATCAAAAACTGGGAAAAGATCCAACAAAAAAAAACTTACGTAACCGTGCGGAAAAGCCAGCATACCAGAAAAAAAATAACTTCAAGAAGTAACCAAGGAAGCCAAAATCGTCGAAATGTCCTAGACAATGAAGACTACTTCATTGGTAATTGCCCAGCTTTTGCAAGGCTAATTACGCAACAAAAAAACTCAATTATTGAAGGATATGCAGTTGTGCTTCAGTTGCCTGGGTAATCATAGATCAGATGACTGTTCTTCCACTTTACAAAAGAGTCAAGATAAATCTGCACACTGAAACACTCAGAAATCCAACAATTTCAATTTGGAAAACCAAGTGAAAACCAAATTCGGTCTAAAAAAGCAACTCCAGTTTATGCCCATTACTTTTTTCAACAACAACCAAGCGGTTTCTTGCTATGCAATTCTTGACAATTGCAGCAGCTGTTCTTATGTCCTGAATTGCACCCTACAGTGTAAGCCCAGTCGAACAGTTGAAATGAGCATTCGTGGTGCTTTCAGTGAGGACACTGTTTCGTCAAATCTGGTTCAACTACATATTGGACCTTTCAACTCTACTTCTGTTACGTTTACCCTGCCATCAGTCTATTTGGTGGACACGCTCAACTTCGATTTTGTAGATGTCGCAAGTTTGAACAACGCATGTTCCCGGTATGACCATCTACAACACATTGTTTTTCCTAATCTCCTCGACAATTCGGTACTTTTTCTATTCGGCGTCGACGCTTTCTGGAATATCGCAGAGAAGGAAATTTTGAAAGGCCCTGCCGGCAGTCCGAATGGAGTGCGCAACTTGCAGGGATGGACAATAACCGGCCCGCTTCGTCAAAAGTCTAGAGATGAAATGTGCAACTATCGTCAAACCAATTTTCATAACTAATTCATGACAGATTCTGAATGAAACAACCATTAAGTATCGACAAAGACAAAATAGCAACCAAGCTTCAGCTGAAGTCAATCGACTGGCGTCGTAATGTACCATCTGTTCTTCATTTTGGTGGGATGTGAGAACGTCAGGTTTCGATCATCAATTGAGTCTTCTTAATGAACTAAGGATCAAACAGACTTTCAATGGATTTTTTTAAATCTATTGTAGTAGAGTGCGAAGGCCTCATCCACTATTTGCGACATTAATGACATATTGCCGCTTACATCTAACCATTTCATACATGTGAGGCCATTCTTTTACGCTTTTGCAGCTTCAATCTAGGACCAAACAAATATCAACAAACTAAGCAACAAATCTTGGAAGCTAACCTAGACCGACAAGACAGCTTCTGGAAGCGATTAATGAAAGAATACGCTCCAACCCTGATCAAACGAACCAAGCTTAAACAAAAAGAGGAAACCATAGAAAAACATGTTCTCGTGTGGATCCTCGAAGACTTTACTGCACGAGGCATATGTACTCTGGGTATAATTGTTGAAACGTTTACCGGTCCTGATGGCATTGCGCCGTCATGCTTAATCAAAACAGCATTAGGAACACTTACTAGGCCCGCGATGAAACTAGCTTTAGTAGAACCAAAAACGGATTTGTAGACCTCACTAGCTTTTGTAATACCAATTTCTAACCCCTTTGGTCTACGTAACTAATGCCTTCCTCGAGGATACTCATGATGTGAATGATCTTTCACGTGAATTACTTGAAAAAATGGTAATTTCAAGTTCGTAAATTATAAGTCAGCGGGGTGTGATCATAATTTTTGGATGACGTAATAACCACAAAAAAGTTTAAAATTCAAATGAAACAAGAGTCTTGGATAATATCTTTTTCTGCTGAAGCATGGTCTTTTTTGTTAATACAATTCACAAAATTTGCAGTTTGACGCATTGGTATTTTTGTCTAAATCAGCAAATTGCTTTTTTGGAAAAAAAAGTGGCCCGTTCTTTTCGTTGAGAATACAGAAACAATATCACTGATTATTAACAGATGTGTAGCGATTCCTAGCTTTTCAGTCTCACGTTTCTTATGCCCAAAACAGAAAGGGGCTTATTGTGAGTATTCAAATTCCTTTGCTATGTTAACTTTTTTTTGTCAAATTTGATGAATTCAACTGTTACCGATGCATTACAAAAAGCATTAGACATAATATTAGTCGCAGGTAGAATATTCAAGTGCCCAATAGAAGCTTCCAATCTGATAAAATTTTTATGCAAATAATCTGAACTAAATTTCTGTGATTTCTGATCCAAAACTTTTTATTTCTCGTCTAACATAAGAAATATACAATTTCTGGAAGGAAAAAAACAGAAATCAGTTCACCACTCAAAGGCATTGAAAAAACAAGCTCCGAATACACACATTAGCCGTACCACAACAGTGCAAATTTGAACTTCTGTTAACAAGTGTAGTTTATATAGTTTTATATATGTTAATTTATATAGTTTATATTTTCTACTTATCATAGAAGTTGGTTCATGTCAAAATTTTGATTGGTTCATGTAGCAGTTTTCAAAGTTTTCAAAATTCTATAATCTATATTTTCTCAGTGATATTTGTTTCATGATGCGTTTTTATGGTTTTTTTAAAGCACCAAAGTAGCAGCACACTGTTTTACTTTCATGAATGGTTTGGAAGTGTTAGTTTTTCTCTAGTGCGGGAATTTTTTCATTAATAAGAAGAGACCTCAATGAAATTTTTGTTTGGCGGAAAAATGTTGTCTTCAGTTTAACCAAAGAAAAAAAAATTTCAATCAAGTATATTGGATTTTATTAGTTTTTTTGTATGATTTAAGATATATTATACTGGAAAAAAAGAGATTCTGATGTCTCGAGAAATATCACGATCATAATCAATTACAAATCCTTTAAACATCTAACTTTGCTACTAATAATCAATAATAATTGTCAAAAAAACAGTATAATAATTAATTACTTATAATCAATTACTTAAGCCTAAATATGGATGTGGCCGGTTAAGATTGGGTGAGAGACTAAACTGCGCTTGACTCCAAACTTTGTGCTGCACTGAACCTCATATCTGATTGTTGTGTAGTTGTATGATGATCGCGCAAAAGCTGTAAAACTTTCAGGGAATAATCGGCGTCTACGTTTTCATGTTTGGCACCGTGCGTGAGACAAGAGTTCTATGTTTTATGTGATCCTAAGTTAAATCATGGATTTTCGAGCTCGCAACGGGGTCGCTCACACCACGTAAAAACCTTGCCTCAAAAATATTTCTGAATCGAGTCTTACTGAAAATTATATATTTTTCATCAAAAAATTGGCGTCTAACTTTTCATGTTTGGCACGGTGCGACTAATATGTTTGAAAAAAACTAGGAAAAAAATATACATTTTTTTCTTGGAGCGAAAAAACAAATCAGTGTGAGACAAGAGTTCTTTGCAGTAGAAATTTAACTGATCGTTCCGACAAAGTTTTAACTTGTTTTAAGACTTGTCTCTAGTCTCCAGAGACCTACACTCATCAAAATGTCCTTCTATACATTGCACAGTTTAGCCTCGCATTGATTAGGTTATCTTAGGGAACTTCGCTGTTTTTTCACTTTACAATTGCAATTTTCTTCTTTTTTTGTAATTCGCGTCTTGGAATAATTTATTTCTAACAATTTTCAAGCCAAATTAAATAACAGCTTACGCTGTAATTCAACAAAAAAAAACAGCTGATGAATCAAGTCAATGTCCTGAATGTTCCGACTGCAACTCTATTGGCATCGAATCGTTTTTTATAAAAACAATTAAGAAAAGCCATAACTTTCGGACAAAATCATATATCAAGTGAGACGCTTCGAGCAGTACGAAAATAAAATGACCATTAACTAGCTGGCATATTCTTGTTATGAAACAAAAACTGATAGTTTAAAATTTTAACAAACGTTCATTTTAGTGCATTTGTATGTTTTTGGATATACCAGTGAGTAAAATCAGGTAATCAATTAAATTGGTGGCAATTTTCCAACGTTTTTACAGAAATTAGCACTTGAAAACATCAGGAAAGCCTTCTTCTGAATTCAGTTTTTCCTTGATTAGCCTGCTGTTTCTTCCTTCTTGCTTTTTTGCCCCCTTTCTTAGATCCACTTCCACTAGCCCCACCATTGTCTTTTTTCTCTCCACTGGCTCCTGGACTTTTATGTCCTTTTGTGCGAACCAAAGTCTCGTCACAAATCCATGCATTATCTCGACACATGATGTTATGTTTAAACCAATGAAAAGTCAACTCCTGATCAACTGTTGAGTAATTGAAATATGCCGAGGCCATATGACGGAGACCGGCATCTTCCAATTCTCGGCCGAGTATGACATAAGGAGCGCCCTCGACTACAGTCGGTTGATGACTTCGCCTAAAGTTGCCTGGGCCGAAACCAACTTCGATGATAACATTTGAGCAGATGGTAGGCAAATAAACGGCCTGAAAAAAATGTGTTCTTCAGCCAAAATAGCCAAATTGGAGTAAATGATTGTTTGAATATGATTTTCATACTAAATTCTGCGGTAATTAACATCATGCAAAACGTCAAAGCAGAAAAAGAGCGAAATTTTTTTTAAGAAAAAGGCAGTTCATAGATGGCCGTAATCCGACCCCTGCAGTTGAACAGCTTTCAACTCGAAAGGTTTAATTATTTGCTTGAAAACAATCAGTTGCTTGAAAGTTAATTGTTGAAACTCGAGAAAAAAGATAGCTGCATGATACGTTTTTTTGATTAAGTTATCTGCACTTGAAAGTTGAATCAAGAGCTTTCAGAGCACATTTGAAAAAATAGTCATTTTTTTAAGAGCTAATTTATTGATACTGCGTTCCACTGAAATCTTATTTGAGTTTAAGTTTCGAAATTAGTGACAAAGCAATGTGGCAGAAGTCAACAGTATCATGGCTTCGCTGCATTACCTTTTGGCACCTTCAAACATCATTCAACGGTTCAAAACTTCAAAAATTACTAGCAGGCGCGACAAACACAATTACTTTTTTTGAAAGTTGATGCGACCGAACATAATTCTAGTTGATTTGAGAGATTGCAATGGCCCGCAAAAGTATCAAAAAAAGATTGATATGGACCGCAAAACCATCAAAATAAGAAACCTAACCAACAACTGAAAATAAGAAACCTAAACAACCATTTGAATAGGTTTGCAAAAAACTAAGGTGTCTTAAGCAAAGTACGCAAGCAATGAAACTTTGAAATATTTCAATTAGCAATTGAAAGCTTTCACAGAAAAATAAAAAATCGAGTTTGATTAAAGAACCATGCAAAAAAGAGAGATTGTACAGAAACTACGAGAGAAATTGTTTTAGTTTGTTTTGACATGGGTATATGGGTTCACAAAAAATGTTTTTGGAAAACTGCTCAGCCGATGAAAAATCAAAAAAAAGTTAAAAGCTCGAACAAATTTTCTAAAATTTGAATTTAACCAAAAACAAGTGACTCAAACTCAGTGATAGCTAGATTTGGTTTGCAAAAATATAGTTTTATTAAACAAGATATTCATGTAAAACTTTTTAAAAAGTTTCTTACTTTTGATTTGCTTAAAATATTCACAAAAAAGATAACTATCATCAGAAAAGTACTCACTCAATTCATTGAAAATCTTGTTTTTTTTCCGTTGGTAACACTTTAAAGTTAGTTGAAATGATATTCAACCAGTTAAAATATAAAAAAATTTGATTTATATTAAAAATTTAAAACCTGAAAAAAAATCGGGAATCCTTTTGCGCAAGAAATTCAAATATTGACAGAGCATACGAATTGCTTTGATAACTTGAAACAAATCCAAATATTACCTAAACCAGCTCATCAAGCAAAGAAAAATTGAACATTTCTACTTGGCGTTTATAGTTTCAATCGATTTCCGATATAAAACGTTTTAAACATGCAAATTTTTTGATTACTTGATTTTCTTTGCCAAAAAAACTTGAAAGTTCCCTCTGATTTTGCGACCACGAGCAACTGCGCAAAATCCAATTTATTATCAGAAAAAATTCAAACATCAGAAAACTTCAGTGGTTCCAGTAGCTTGAATAAATCGCAAAAATTATCTTAAGTATGCTATTCTACAGATGAAGTTTTTAAAAATTTCAAGTTAGTTTTTTTTGTTTTAAACAAGTTGAAAAAATAATTAATACTCTCTGGCTCAAGCTACTCAAGCAAGAGAAAAATTCTACCGGTTTTGACACCTTGAACTGATTCAAAAACTTGAAAGTGATTACAGTTCTGCAAGAAATCTCTCAAATGTTTGGAAACATTCGCAATTGGCGTTGGAAACTACAATTGGTTTACAAAAAATAATTTTGCTTAAAGACAACTTCAAGTTAAGTTGATAGCTGAAATCTATCAGAAAAAATATTCTATCGAAAAACTGCTCACCCGTTGAAACTTGTTTACGTTGCTGTTTGAATCGGTTCGCAGAAATTGTAATTTTTTACAAAGCAAACTGTTCAACCATAAAGAACATTTTCAGTTAATTTAAAATAACATTTTAAGTTATCATAATCAAACTGCTCAAGTCAAAAAACAATTCAAAATATTTTGAAAGCTTAAATGAGTTCTCAAAAAATTAAAAATCATTATAGGCATGCATAAAATATTTTTGTTAGCTTGACTGTGATAAAATAGAATCACACAATCTGGCCACTAAGGTAAAAATAACCGCAAGAAAACACTAATTGTATCCAGAGCAACGTAAGCTGCTCAAGCGATAAAAAGGACTTTTTTAGTGCTACTTTGATGCTTTGAAATTGAAAACAAAGGGTAAAATGTTATCATAAGCAAGCAACAAAAGCAAAGAACAAATATTTAAAATCATCCGATGGGTTAATTAGATTTACGAAACTTAAAAAAACTCTAAGCCACCTGTTCAAGCAATGGAATTTAGAAGTATTGCAAATAGCTTGAAAAACTTGAATAATTTACAAAAAAAATTTAACTCAAGGAAAAAACATGTTTTGATAGTTTGAATTTCTTCATAAGAAGAAAAAGTTTGGTTTAGCAAATTGCTTCAGTAAATCGCAACTGTTTGGTTTGGCAAATCGCTAAGTTTTTAGGTACTCATAATGAAGAAAAAAACAGGACTTCTGATTATTTTTTGATAGCTTGAATTAGTTCGCAAAAAAATTAAAATGATCAATTGGAAGCTACTGGTTTAACTCTAGTTCAACTGAGAGAAAAATTTCATACGCCAGCTACTCAACCAAACATAACATATGTCAAAATTTTTACTAGATTGACTAGGTGTTCAAAATGTTCAAATGTTCAAAGTAATATTAAGCTAGCTACGCAAACGGCGAAGCAGTTTTTTCCAATTGTTTCGATATCTTATAAAATTTTTTGTAATAAGTAATTTTGAGCCAATAATGCAGGCGAGAGATCTTTGAAAGGTTTTTATATGAAACTGACATCTTATTTTCTTTGATAAAAACATGAGGTATCTGAAATAGTCTACTAACTTATTGACAAAAGCATGAGGTAATTTGATATCTTGAAGCAGTTCACAAAAACGAAAAGTAGAAAAAAGTAAGTAGGTAAAAACATCATAAACGAGCTAGTCGAGCAATAAAAAAGCAGCACTAAGCTGTTTTGTTATCTTCAACTAGATTGCGAAAAACGAATTTATTCCAGAAGTTTTGTAAAAATAGCTGATAAAAAACGCAAAAATAGCTTTTTCATAAAACGTTATTCAAACAATGAAAAATTTCAAGTTGAATTATTAGCTGGAACTGGGTTAAAATTTAAAGCCCATCTTACGCAATGAAAGAAACATTTCCTCAAGGCTAGCTATTCAACTGATGTTCTTTTGAATGATCCAAGTGGTGCTGAAGTCTGTTGTAAAATATATTGAATAAGCTAATAACACAATGAGAGAAATTTCAGATGGCTCCAATAGCTTGAAGTGATTTGCGAAAAATTAAACAAATTTTAATCAGAAGTTAAATAAGATTTGCTACTCAACCGATGAAGCCTTGAAGTTTTTCAGGAAGGTTTTATTATTCGCTTCTAGTTAACTTGGTAGCTCTAGATTGATCACAAGAAATTTGAAACTAACATAATTAAGGTTTTTAGCAATAAGTCATTTGCTTTAGTTTGTTTCGATAGCTTTGTTTCGACCTCAAAAATTTAGAACTTATCAAAAACAGTCTCATCAAGGAAAAATTGTTTGATAAATTGTTGAACTGATTGGCAAAGTTAAAGCTTTGTTTAGAGAAATTGCATAGGAGAAAAAAAGTAATTTACGTTTTTTTGATAGCTTGAATTGTTTTAAACAAGTTGAATTTGTTACAGGGGCAAGCTATGAAATTGAAAAAATCTAATATTTTATTTAAGTTAGATTTCATTGGAAAAAAAACTTTATCAATAGCTAGCAACTCACTTAGAAAAAACGCCTTTCGTTTTAATAATTCAACAGTTTTGTAAAATTTGACAGGTTTCCCAGATGATTTGATAATTGATTTGGATTATGAATAAGATTAATTAAAAATATCTTAGACAAGCTAATTGATGGCTTCAATTTGTCCGAAAATAAAAATTAAAAATTATTTTTTATCAAACTAGTCTAGCAAAAACCTGATTCATTAAAATTGCTTGGTAGCTTATAATGGATTCTAACAAAACATATTCATGTGTTCGATCTCTTTAGGCGACGAAAAGTAAAAAAACTTTCCTTTGTTTTGGTAAATAAATTCGTGAAAAAATGAAGTTGTCATGATGAAATGAAATTTTGTCACCCTTTTAATTGAAATCTGTAATCCTTTGAAAAATGAAAACTGTCTCATGCAAGATATTCATCTGATAAAACTTTGAAGTTTGAAAAAACCAAAAAATATTAGTAAATGTTTTCTGGATATCAACTTATCTCGTTCATCAGTTTTCGTTTTACTGATACGCTGGTTTAGTGACCTAGCACTACTTTCAACATCATCAGCCCTTCTGAACTATTTTGTAGGGAGGATTTTTACTTGGGGCCTTCATTGGTAACTTAATTAACATCCCGTTTTTCTTAGTAATATCAATCTAATGTCGTTTTATCAATTTAGTTATATTTTTTTCAATAATCAGTGGGTTAATTTTTTAAAAACAAAGTATTTTTCAATGTTAAATTTTGAAACTGAAAAAGTTGATACAGCGTTTTGAATTAACAGTTGAAACAAACAAAATAATATTTCTTTTACTAGGATACAGGAGGGAAAAATTTGCCTAAGTTATCAGAATAACTTTACAAGTTCTCTTTCAGTTTTGACAAAAAAATTATTCAAATCTAGAAACAACCAAGTTTACTCAATATTTTCAATCAAATTTTTGATAAATTTGAAAACAACCTCAAAGAGACTATTGTAAAATTTGATTTTTTTTTAAGCAGCAAATTTTAATTGGACTACCGTTGACAAAAATTAACGCAGGTTTTTCAATTTTTTGATGACTTTCGTGAGGAACACACTAACCGTTTTAGATTCGCTAATTTCTCACATTTAGGATACTTTTTGTGGAAAAAAACGACTAGTAAAATATCAATTTGTAGTTGTTAAAACCTGTATATCTTACCATTAAGAAATTTAGAGGCTTGCTTTCATTTTTGTAGTCTGTCAGCATGGCCAAATACTTGTCAGGCTTAATCATCTTATGCAGGAGACCGAATAGCATGTACTTGCTGACCTGATTAGAGCAACAGTCACCTAGAACAAAAATCTTGTAGATATAAAATGAATTCAGTTAAAACGTTTAATCAGGAGGGAACAAATCTTGCGCAAATTCAGGCACCTCAAAACTACTAGGTCATTTAAATTATGCAAAAATCGGTCATAGTTTGAAATTTGAGGTCGAGGTTTTGTCAATAAAATGACAGTATGATTCAAAACACTAGGAATTCAGGCTGGTAATTCACAAGACCAAACACTAAAGTGGCGTTGTAATGATGATTTTATATAATCTTATATGATCTTATAAAATCTTATTTAATCTTAAGGATATCATTTGTAGTCAGCAATTTGAGAGAAAAAAGATATCTAGGAAACTACTTAACTTCAATTGAACTGGAACTTAAATGGAATAATTTTATTCATTCCGGATTGACTTGCATATAATGAAAATGTTGGTGATTTAATGACATATATGAAGCCTATGAAAAATGCTATGAAGCCTATGAAAGAAGCATACTATTCAAGTTAAACACAAAAATTTTTGGAAAAAAACTTGGATAACGACGTAGTAAATTGAAATTAATTTTCAACGACAAAACACTCCATTTTGTTTTGATTTTTAACTCGAAAACAGAAAAAAACGGTTTTTTGTCACAAAAAGCCTAGCCATGCAATCTCATAAATTCGAAAATGATTTTTTCAACAATTTATTCCTAATCAACAAAAACTCACCAAATTGGTTATCAAGACCTTTAATTCATTTTCCAAATACTGATAAAAAACAAATCTCTTGCTAAACTGATGATTTAATTGCTAAAAGAGACTAGTCGTACAATTTTATAATCCCTCTGTCTTTGCTTTTGATATTTTTTTGTATTGTTAGTTAATATTCACAGCTAAAAGGCATTGGAGCCACATGGTTATGCATACTAAAATAGGTTTTACACGAGTCGAGGAAAGAATAGTTTTGGATTTCTCAATCTTTTGTTCTATGAAACTTTTCTTTTTATTCAATTGTTTATTTTGAATGGTGATTGATTTCTGCAATCCCGGTTAGCGGATTCGCTATGTTTTAACTAAAATAAAAAGCTACACCCTGAATGCAAAATTTAGAACGATTATTTAAGGTGTTTTTCAAGGCCTTAAACAATTACGTGGATTGGCAAAGTTGATCATGTTGATGTCCACCCATTGTTCCCGTATGAGCAGTTCGAACCAGGCCTTGGCAGCATGTGGTTCCAGAAGTCCAGAACGATTAGAGAAGTTTGGCATAAGTGTGCCTCCAAAGACCCTAGGGTCTGGAGTATGGTATGCATCCAGACAGTACCATTGACTAAAATGCAGATATTATACGGACAAAAAAATGTGAAACCACCAACCTCATAACCTCATTTTCAAAAGATGATGTCAATAATAAATAAAAAATACATGACCCGTTTAGCAATACGGTAAACTTTAATGAACGGTGAAATTTTTACAGAATAAACTAAAAGAGTAACAAAAAGTAGAAAAGAATATCAATGAAGAGTCTTCAATAATTTACATTAACAATTGTCATTAACAATTGTTTTCTGAGAGTGAGATCTACATTGAGACGCTTCTTAAGTATGAACATATTCCTGTGATATCAGGTTAAAGACCAAAAAATCTCCAACTAGTTTTATGGGTTTTTTTTTATTTTAATGGATTTGATGATAGCCGCTTTCACCTGTGTCTTGCACATGCTGATCCCCGTGGACTGATTGAGTTTGTGATCCAAAACACCAGCGACTCCCAACTTTCAGTGACTGCAGTTGTCAAGTACCCATGAGGCGTAAATGATGAGCAATATATCTCACAGGACAAAAAGGCTGAAAAATTGAAATATTATGTATCATTCTAAAGTGAGTGGGGGAAAAAACGATAAAGTACACATGACACAGGTCAGTTGATCTCGCTAGCAATTAGCACAGAAAAATTTTTGTTGACTTATTTTTCGAGTTTCTAATATCCCGTTTTTTGAAGAAAATGACGGAATACTTATTCTTAGTGTGGCTTTTTATCCAGACCAATTTTGTCTTCTCAAGGGCGTTTTTGACGAAATATGTTTTCTACCACCTGAAAGGAATCGATGACTTCAGCATAAACTCAAAAAGATGTTTTATCTGCGATCATTTTTCACTTAGTTTAGGGAGTTTGATTTGATTCTACTTGGACCAATTTATAATAATAAAAGCGCCTACAATGCCAATTTTTTTATTAGCGCATAGCAACTGCAACAACTTGTTTAAGCTCAGAAAACACAGCAATTGACTTGACCCCTGAAAACCTCAATTTTTTTGAAAAAAGCACTCAACAATTTTCTTCGGGTCTATAAAATGCCAGCTGTAAACATTAGACCTTCATCACTAAGAAATTTTTAAGCGTGTGAATCTGTTCTGAAAAAAGTGTACTAGAAAAATTAATAATGCGATATGAAGTTTTTAAAAAAAAAATTTAAAATTAAAGTGCTTTGTTTAGTATGGATTTCTTAAACTCTTGTTTATGATATTTTAATAAAATTAAAAGAATTGGTTACAAACGATAAAAACTGGTCGGCTGTTTAGACCCAAAAAAACCGGCAAGAGCTTCATATCTAAAATCGAGATTTTCAGAGATGAGTTTGAATCGGTCGATGTAAAACATTTGTGATAATTCAAAAAAAATGTTGTTGAAATATGTCCTTGAAAAATTGGACTTTTGAAGAGAAAAAAGTATTTTCAGGATTATTTTTGTCCACTAGCATATCTGTGTTTTGTTATTCAAGTCACCAACATCAGCATTTGTCGTATTTTGTTATGGAGTTTTTTCTTTTCTTCAAACATCTTAAACAGCAGTTGGAAAATAAAGTGAACAAAATTTTCTCATCTTCGAAAAAACTCGTAAGCTTGCTATTGTGAATTCAACAAAACAATATACAGTGACTTTTGTAACAAGTTTTCTATTCAGCTGTCCTAGTTCATTTGCCCTGGAAAAGTAGGACTGAAGGAAGAATTAAACTGAAAAAAAAACTACCCAAGAAAGAGGAAAAAAGATTTTAAAAAAAATTGAAATATAAAAAATTAGCTCATAGGCATAATTCTGGACTATTGCTTTAAAAAAAACTCCAAAAGTAAATAGTTTTGTGTCAGTTTTCAATTCAGTTTGTAAAAAAAAAATTTAAGATGAAAAAATTGATTGAACAAAAACAATTTGGCAGGTCAGTCAAAAAAGAAAACTTCTCTATTTCTTAACCATTTTTTTCCCATAAATAATTGCATAAATTTTCTCAATTTTTGCAAAAAATTGATTCTTGAATTACTCAATGAAGTCTACAAACCCAAAGAAGTCCCAATTTTTTGAAACTCTCAGTTTTCTCAAAGATGTCTATGTATTTCGAAAGAGAAGGAGAAGCATTTGACTACAGGCAATTTTCATTTACAATTCTATTATCCAAAGTGAATGAGCAAAAAATACTCGAAATTTTTTTACACAAAAAAAATAAGCATGTTGCACGCAAGTTGGCTTCTAAAAAAACTTCAATTGATGGGTTAGAATTTTGATTAATATAAATATTGAGTTTTCAAGCTAATAATTATATTTCCTCTCATTGAACTAGGGTAAGTTGAAGTAAAAAAATGAAGTATGAATTAAACTAGAAAAGAGTTACTCATAAAAATGGAAAAAATTGAGATATAGAAATGAAATGTTTTAGGAAATAGTTCTGGACCATTGAATTCAAAAAACTCCAAAATCTATGAGTAAGAGATTTTGTGTCAGTTTTCAACTTAGTTTGTATCAAAAAAAGTTTTACGATGAAAAAATTGATTGAACGAAAAAAAAATTGGCAGGTCAATTGGATTTTTCTGCCTGGATAACAAAACTGAAAAATTTGTCTATTGCTTTAAATTCACTTTATTCTAAAATTAATTGAATAAAATTTCCCAATTTTCCAAAAAAAATGATTCAAAATTTTTTCAAAGAAGTACACCTGCCCAAAGAAGTCTCAAGTTTCACCGAAATTCTCATTTGTCTCTAAGATGTCTGCGTAACTCTAAATTATTTTTAAAATTTAAAAGCATTTGACTACAGGCAGTTTTCGTTAACATTGTATTATCTAAACTGAGTGAGCAAAAAAAGTTTTACGATGAAAAAATTGATTGAACGAAAAAAAAATTGGCAGGTCGATTGGATTTTTCTGCCTGGATAACAAAACTGAAAAATTTGTCTATTGCTTTACATTCACTTTATTCTAAAATTAATTGAATAAAATTTCCCAATTTTCCAAAAAAAATGATTCAAAATTTTTTCAAAGAAGTACACCTGCCCAAAGAAGTCTCAAGTTTCACCGAAATTCTCATTTGTCTCTAAGATGTCTGCGTAACTCTAAATTATTTTTAAAATTTAAAAGCATTTGACTACAGGCAGTTTTCGTTAACAATGTATTATCTAAACTGAGTGAGCAAAAAATTCTGAGCAATTTCAATCTAAAATAAACCAGTATGTTAAGCCTAATTTGATTCTAAGAAGAAAAGTTTCGATTGATGCGGTTAAAAATTTGAATTATGAAAAAATATCGAGTTTTCAAGTTAAGAGTTATGTTTTTTTTTCTCAATAAACTAGGGTACTGTGTGTTTTAAGCTAAAACTTATGAACTACTTGCTATTTTCTTATCGAGCCAAATTCATTGCGTAGAAACTATTGCCACAAGATTGCTGAGCAACCATGAATAATGGGGCATCACAAAATTTGATATTCAGCTCGATTTTATTTTTATTTTTATATGTTAATGACTTTGGGTAAATTGGAGAAACAAAGTTGGAAAAACCAACTATTCAATTCGCGGATGATACAATTGTAAAGTTCGAAGAAAAAAGATTTTGTTATTTTTTTTCTAACACGCATGATACCTTAAAATTTGTATCAACTACTTGCTAATTTCTTATTGAACCGAAATCATTGCGTAGAAAGTATTGCAACAAAGGTTGCTGAGCAACCTCAGGTAATGGGGCATCACAAAGTTTGATGCTCGGCCCCATTGTTTTCATTTTATATGTTAATGATTTTTGGTAAATTGGAGAAACACAATTGGAAAAACCAACCATTCAATTCGCGGATAACACACTTGTAAAATTCACAAGAAAAACATATGCTAATTTTTTGTCTAACAAGCATGTTACCCTAAAATCTGCATAACCACATTTATCTGAGATCGAATTCTTGATAATTATAGACAAAACAGATATAATAAGGTTTGACTAAAACTCAGATTCCCTGGTTTATTCTTTTTGAAAATGAGGAAATCAAATAAAAAATTTCAGCACAATATCAGCGCATTAGTTTGGTCGAAAAATTGCGATTGGTAAACGACAGTAATAAGTTATATAAATAAAATGGCTGACAAAATTAGGTCAAAAACTTCTAACTGTGGAATATGCCGTTCATATTGCAGGTTATTATATTGCAATCATAGTTATGACTCACCTTAATTATAATAGTGAAAATTTTTTGGACAGATTACAACCAAAAAACGTCAATGGATTGCTTCGTTACAAAAACCTGGGAGAAACATTTTGCTTCTTGTGAAAAAGTTTGAAAATGTCGCCTTTCAATTTGAAAAATATCAAACTTACTGCAGAAGAGTTCCTAACAAATTTCGTTTCCCAAAAAATTTTATTCTGTTCACAAAAAAAAAATTTAAATAGAAAAAAAGTGTAAAAAAAAACCATTCAGAAAACCATCAGATTTTTCCATCGCCTTAGTTGTGTGTGCCAAAGAAAGGATTGGTTTTCTTAAAACTTGGAAAAGATTTAAAAAAAGTCAAAGTACAAAACCATATTAATAATTACCTGGTATATTTAAATAATCCAGTTCCTGTTAACAAAAACTTGGGGCTTTAACTCGTATTTTCTAGGTACAAATCTAACGTCCATTTTATATTAGTTCAATTTTATATTTATAAGAAGGCAGCCTAGATTGAAATAAACCCCTTAGTTGATTTAAAATCTTAAATCAAAAAGCACTTAGTTTTTTTTGGAAAAAACATGTGTCTGTCAAAAAAGTGTCGTGTTGGTGACTAATATCTTTTTATCTTCCTAAATTATCATAAATTTTTTCTGTTTCTCAAAATAAAAATTTATATCACAGAGGATCTATCAAAATCTGGCAGCTGTCTAAGCAAAGTTTGTTCCGACTTATTCTCCCCATTGCAGTTTTAGGTCTTTTTTTTTATTATTCAAGACCGTTTTTTGCGTCGACATTTTTCAGGTAGACGCTGTAAATTATATTGTTAATAACAGCGGCGATGAATTAAAAATACAGTTGTACCACTCACCTGCTGTGAAAATAGCAACACCTTGGATGTTCATCGTTATAACCACTAATTTGTTCTTGCGCTTTGTGAGTAAATATTAGATCAATAAATATTTGACCAGTGCGCTGCATTAGGTTTTAATTGCCTTTGCAAAGCATTTCATTACATCATAACATCTGCTGATTTTGGCAAACCGATGCCCGCGTTTTCTTTTGATCTACATGCGTTTTTTGACTTGCTAAGAAAACCGGTGAAGTCTAGAAATTTTTCAGTATAATCTTTTACGTATAAATTATAATATTATCAGAATGGCGCAAAATCGGAATCAAAATTGGAAAATTGATAACATATAAACAAACATTAGCAATACCCCTGAATGTCTAGCAAGGCCATGAGCCGAACAGTTATTGACGCGGAAAAGCTCAAAAATCACAAAAGTTATGCAGAATAGGTACGTTATGAGACTTATACCTAGTAGACCGCCACCTTGGAGATCAACATATTCCTTCGTGGAAAAGATTTTTTTTTATAGCACATCGGTTTTTTAAATGTGGTAAAAAAATAAACAATTCAAGACGCTAAAGTCAAACGAGGCAATGGCAAAAAGTGCAAGCTTGCTCGGCTTTCCTGTGCCTACATTCAGCAAAAGAGGAAATAAGAAATAACCGATAAACTAGACTGCTTTTGGCTGTAACGAACAAGAAGCAAATCTGTTTTTGTTACGGTGACGCCCTTTGCACTCTCATCTTTTTGCAGGGTTTTCAAAGCATCTGAGATTTCGAAGCACATCATCTTTTTGCAGGATTTTTGAAGCACCTTTTGCAGGGATTTCACTCCCATTTTTTGCAGGGATTTCAAACAACATTTCAAAGTCTAATTTTAATTTTGTAACTTTAATTATTTGACAGTTGCTAATTTTGGCTGGCTGTATAACAAATCAATGGAATGAAGAGCTAAGGACCCCTAAGTTTTTATCTTTTCTGTTTTGGCTGAAAATTTTCAATTCAATTATTAATTTGATTTCTAAAGCAAACTTTTCCGGTTGAATTAAATCCCGGAAATTGTTTTATTTAACCAAACATAACATTATGATCTGTTCAAAAAATCTCAACATTCCGGTAGTCTCATTTTCGGTTTATGGAGGTCAACCCGGGTAGTATTTCCGGTATAATTAAATCCGGAAATTTAATTCAACTTTTCAAAAACGCTCAAAAACCGCTTAAAAACCGCTCAAATCTTGCTTAAAAAACCGTTCAAAAATCACCGCAAGAAATGAGCGGTTTTTGAACGGTTTTTTAAGCAAGATTTGAGCGGTTTGAGCGGTTTTTCCATAAAAACCGCCCAAACCGCTCAAACGGCTCAAATTTTGCTGGAAAACCGCTCAAACCGCCCATATCTTGAGCGGTTTTTGAGCGTGATCTCGACCCGGGAAGTTATCTCAAATAAACAATACGGGGTATTCTGCAATGTTTTAAGGTCCATAGTATCTCGCGCAATAATCAAAATTATATTTGGGCCCTCATAATTAAACTTTGTGATTCATTTTGCAAAACAAACTACAATGGAACACTCTACAATCTGTGATTTTTTGTGAAAAGTATCACACTAAAAAAATTAAACGATACATGTCTACTGAAACAATCATGAGAAAACAACGTTGCAAACTACCTCATACTTATTTATGAGAAAGAAATCTATTCGTCCATTGCAAAATATTTTTGATTTCTCAAATTCTTCTCGCTATCTAGAAATGAAAAGCAAACAGTTATGATTCCTCAAAAGCGTTGAAAACTACGAAAGCTACACAAAAAAAAACATTTTTGTTTGAATTCTTTTTATATGTACCTAAATTCAAAAATCAATCTAAGAGTATTCAATTTCACAAAATCTTGAAGACTCTTACTTCAAGAAGTGGTTGAGAAGATGAGTGACTTGCATTAGTTTAACTATTTTCTTTGATTCTGAAAAATCTAGATACTCAAAACTATTATAAAAAGCCATAATCAATAATAATAAAAAAGAACTAGCATGTGGGTGATTTATTTTAACTCACAATAGAGCAATGGAATGATGCATAGAGTTTTCTCAGAAATTTTGCGGTTCATAGTGAGTTTCCGGTTTAAACAGATGCTAGTAAAAATGGAAAATCTCATAGTTTTTATCACAACTTTTGATAATTGGTAACTTTCGGGTGACAAAGTACATTATTATGAGCTTGCTCAGTTATACTGCACATGATCAGGCAAAATCAAAACGATGCTTTTAAAATCATAGCATGGAACACTGGTTTATTTAAACTTCAATTCAATATTGAAAACTTTTAAATCAAAAAAGATAGCAGATGATGAAAAGACAGTGATGAGTTACTTTTCGACTGGTTGGACAAAAAAACAAAATCATACTTTTTCAAATTAATTGTTTTCCATGCTGATCAAATTTCTTTTTGATACTTTTTGGCAAAAAATCAATAGATAACGACGTACAATGACCTTGATGAGTCGAAATACATGTGATGAAGAAAACGGCGAACAGCGCAATCTTTTTAAGCATAAGTTTCGTTTATGTGCCAATTCAATTCTCAAGTTCATATTTAAGGTCAAAAAATGAGAATTTATTGAGATGACAGATGATGTACATGACCTTAATAATGAAAAAATTGCTTAAAGCTTATGCTTTTGAATATACTTTTTAAAGCTGTGAAACATTTCTGCTAAAGCGTTTTTTCGACAAATTTTATTTATTAAATGAATGATATGTTTTCAGCATAAGGCTTAATGTTTAAGAGGCTATCGAGTGCAACGTTTAAAAACGTGTTTATCAGAACGTATAAGAATCATTCACGGGGCCATCGAATATACTAAAGTCTGGAATAATCTAGAATTCTTTTCAAAAAACGTGTAAAACTCTGTAAGAAAAATGAACTTGATTCAACTTCAAGGCTAGGCGGCATTATCTCCACACTTTTTCTCAACAATATTAGTGTTCACAGATTCATTTGAGTTGGAAACGAATAAAATGAGCAAAACCTTCATTCTAAGAGAAACATTTTGTAAAGAACGGATTCGGTCTATGATTGAATAGCTCCCTGAAGACATCTCAAACATTTCATGAACCGATTCGGTTCATGAAATAACTTAAAATAATTGGAATTATCATAGGCTGAATTGCCTGCTTGAAAAAACTCAAATATTTGGCCTATAAAACAACTTGAATTGTATAGATTTTTTATTAATTGAATGTCTTGATTATAATTTTTTACCATTCGAATCTTTTTCTCCGATAAAAGGAAAAATTTTAAAGTTGCTTAGTTTTTTTAAAAAATTAAATTTTTGCGAAGTGAGCGCTATTAAATTACTTGAAATATCTTGAATAGCTTTCTTAGAAAATTCCCATTCGGCCTAAAAACGTTTTCAGTTTTGCTATTTTATACTTTGACTTGCTTGTTTAAGAAAACATGAATTTTTCGCGAACCGATTCAATCTATGAAATATTTTGAACTATATCAGATTTTTATCGCAAGAATTGAATGACTTCAACAGAAAATTGTTTTCATTTTTTCGCCTTTCGGTGCCTTTTTCTGAAAAAAATTGAAATATACCGAATTTTCATAGCTTACCTAGAATTTTTTTTTGAGAACCGATTTGGATTAAGAAACAACTTGATTTTTTTCTCATCTCTATAGTTTGAACAGCTTGCTGCAGAAAATCATTTTAAGCAGTTTTGTTCGCACCTTAAAATAACATCAATTCAAGTAGTTTCAAGTTTTTATCGCATCAATTTCTTGAATCGAAAAATTTTAATCTTTGGCATCAGATTTGCTTTGTTTCAAAGTTTGTTAGTATAAAAAGCTTGCAAAGAAAAAAATTGAACTTTTGTCATCCACTTCTCTTCATGAAGTATCATAAGTTTTTTTTCAATATTCTTAGCTTGACTAGCTGGCCTAAAAAATCTGAGTTTTTTGCAAAACGATTTGGTTTAAGAAACAACTTGAATCATATTGAAGTGTCATTCTTTTAACAACTTGCTGAAGAAAACTCGATTTTTTGCGGACCGAATTGCTCTTTGAAATAGCTTGAAAGAGTTTCAACTGCTCATCGCTTGCATGATTTGGCTCGAACGCTTCTGTTTCTGCTATCTGATTTGCTTCGACTCAAAGTTTAAAAGCTAGAGTAGCTTACTGAGAATCATTATATCTTTTCGCAAACCAATTTGGTCTAAAAAACAGTGGTATACAAACCAGCCGAGATCTCAACCCGCCCATAAGGCGAAAATTTTAAGAGCGATCAATAAGATTTACATTTAAGAAGGATCAACTCAATTCAACTTAGAGGCTATATTTCAGACAAAATTTTGCGTTCATAAATTTGTTCAGCTCTGAAAAGAATAAACATAAAACTGCAACCTCCACGCCTAGAGAAAAACATAAATTAGCAAATCGTTTAGTGCTATAAAACAATTAGAAATTTTCAAAATTTCATAGCTCGATTGACTTGCTCAAGAAATCGTCTGTTAAATAACTGGAAATATTTCAAGGTCTATCAGAGATTGAAAAGCTTGCTTGAAAACTTTTTTTGCGAACCAAATCTGTCAACAAAATATCTTGAAAGATTCAAAAGCTTACAAAATCTAAACGTTCCGTGGACTAAATTCGTCATCAGTATTCCTTGAAAAAGTCCGCAAAAATTCCGCAAAAAATTCCAATAGCTCGAAAATTCCAAAGCTTGAATAGCTTGCTTAAAAAACTTAAATTTTTCGCGAATCGATTTAGAGTCATTCGGAGCACGAATAATTAGCTTGAAATTTATTTTGATTTTCGCACACCAATTCCGTCTAAAAAACAACTTGAAAGATTCCAAAGCTTTATAATCTTGCTTGAAAACACACAAATTTTCCGCGAATTGATTCCGTTTAAGTTAACTTGAAAATTTTCAAAAACTCAAACCTTGAATAGCTTGCATTCAAAAAATTGGATGTTTCGAGAATCGATTTTGTCTATGGAACAACTTGAATAAATTAAATTTTTCATAGCCTAAACACAGTGTTGGTTGAATTAACCGGACACAGCAAACAAAACTTGAA